TCCTATCCGATTATGTGTTCTATCAACATTCCCTATCACTGTATATCTTGAAAATGAATAAAGCTTATTTACAATTACGTATGTTCCATTAGCATCACCCATCTCTGCTGATTTTTGGCAACAAATAGATAAATGTGTTATGTTCATACTTTTCAAATTCCATTAAAACAAATCAATTTCTTACCTGGATTATGTACTCCATCAGCGTTCCCATCAGCAGATTTTTGAAGATGAATGGAAATTTTTTGTACATCCTTTTCAACACCATTTCTTTCGTTATACCATTATCCAACATTTGATGCTCTGCCAGTGTCACCCATCTTTGTTAATTTGTGATAATATATAAGAGCTTTATGCTCATCCTTTTTAACTCCAATTCTATTACATTATACCTTTAAATCACTTCATTCATATTAATACTATAATTTCATTCAGCTAGCATGAGTAAAGGTTATTTAATAATCATTGAAATTAAAATAGTAGGACAAGTTTATAAAGATATAAATACTTACAAATCACTTCATTCGCATTAATTACACTGATAAAAAACAAAAAATTTGATGTGTCGAATGGCACTATTCGAATGCCATTCAATGTGCCATTCAACTTATCACATGACTTTGCGGACATGAATGTCCATGAAGTCGTGCGATAAATTGAATGGCACATGTCAAATGGTATTCGAATAGTCACACTGAATTTTTTATTTTTTACCAGTGTTATGTACTGGTATGCAGTGTTGTCAATTTTTGATATCCGAGTCAAATATGGCGGACTAGACATTTTCGGATATTGTCCGATGTCCGGGTCCGAATCATGTCCGAGTAAGTATGTTGTCACTTGGACAATATCTGAATGATTTATCTCGGACTCAGACATGTTTGGACTCGGACATTTTCAGACATGTCTGAGTTTGTAATATGATTCTTACTTCGCAAGAAGCAACTTGCCAGTTGGATGCTAAACTAAATACGTACATATGTATAAACGTTATTGGAATTATTCAGGTAGTATAATTTACATTACAGCTATTCTCATAAATTTTGAATAAAATTGACTGAACAATTATTTGAACGATTCGACAAATTTTTGATTCAGCAATAATTAAACTTATGATTTGGCATTATTAGTAATATAGTGTAACCATCATAAGAGAGAGCTTGGTACTGTTATGCCGATGGTTAACATTAGAAGAGTCACATAATTTGGATAATAAATTATAGTATTCGGATATTCATGATTTATTAGGCATTTATTATAAAAAGAACGTGAATTTATATAATCTTTATTTATAGAGGAATTTGGAGAATGAATGTTTTTCCTTATTAAAGAGCGAGAATAAGCACTTATATACATGTTAATTTCTCAGAATGTGCTTATATGATTTAGCGCGTAGACACTATATTTTCAGCACAGAAATTAAGCAACCAAGAATACATAACGATAATAATGCCTAATATTACTAAGGTAAGATTAACATGACTATGATAGTACAATTATAGAAGGTACAAATGATGACTTAAAGAATTAGACAAATATGGAAGTAAGGAGATACAGAAAAAATTAATCGTTACAAATATATACTTTTTTGGCGAATGCTTTTGTTTGCATGTCCAGTATGTTTGGTGAGTTAATCTGTATAAAATTTATGACGAAAATTGCTCTTGTTTTCACTGACTTATTGAATCAGCAAGTGATTCTTCAGGCCTTCTCGTCTCCGATTACAAGTTAATAACAATGTCCAACATTATTTGCTCTTTCAGTATAATAGATTTTTTGGTACCTTTTCTATTTTACAACAATCACCATATGCTTTGATAGGATTTCCTTTCTTATTCGCCTTATATTCATACTTATCACTTCAATTTCGACACTTTCCTTATTAGGAGCCTTTTGATAGTAAATTAGCGCTTTATGTTTATTCTTTTTGACATCAACACCATTAGATTTCGGCTCATTTGATTCATCCATTTTCTACTGGACTGACTGGGTAAGACCTTGAATCTTTCAACTGTGTACGTTTCCTTAACTAGAGATTGTACCCGAGTAGAAATTGCTATTATGTGACATAGTTATTTATCTGAATAACCGGGTAATTTAATAATACCCGGGTTGAGGTTTTCCTAACAGGTACAATCTCTATCCTCAATGACACTCATATCTGATTTTTGATGATATTCGGACCTTTTCCTTTTGTTGGAACCTTCAGGTTTGTTTCTAATTCTTTCATATTCGCATTTCTTTGATCACTTAAATTAATGTCCACATTCTCTCTTGTTTTTGGTTTATCTGCCTTGGCATTTTCATCACGTCTTCGATCATCTTTTCATATCTCTTATTACTATCATCCTTTACCTGAGGATCTTATTTCATTAGCCTTACCATCTAGATCCATATTAAAGGTAATGGATTAACTCATAACAATGAATAAATAGAGATTGACGATATGAAACGATCTCATCTTAGGGATTTATAATTGAATTTATGATCCAATGGATATCATATGATCGAGTAATTAACCAAAGGGCAGCCCTAAAAGTACCATCATATGATGATCCTCGCCAATCAGATTTACTCGCATATATGAAATAGTTATATCCTGGGTATATGGTTGGGTATAAGTGAAGATGAAATTTCTGCTTATACACATAGTACACATAGTACTCAGGGTATAACTGATTTATACCCTGCGATCTTGATATAGTAACCAAGGTATAAATAACATTATCTGATCTGATTGGTGAGATCATCATGTGACAATATTTTGGGGCCGTCCTGGCTCTTTCACAATACTGTATATTTAACTATTAAAAAACCGATTAATAATAGAGTTGAACGAGCTAATAACATTAAAATGCGAAATAAATAAAAAATATATTTTTAGTAATATGTAAAAAATGAGAATAAATTAAATAGCGTTTTTTAATAGTGTATAAAATTAGTATTAAAATCCAAAATAAATACATTCGTTTCAAGGTTTATTTTAATATTTTACCACTCCGCTTGTGCATAAATGAGAACTGGTCTAAAGGATTCTCCGTTAAGAATAGTATTAGACCAGATCTCAAATATGATTGGTTGAAAATTAGGTTTGTCCGGCAGACATATTTGGTTGTCTGAGTCCGAATCCGGTCTGAGTCCGAGTTCGGTCCGAGTCCGGTCCAGTCCGAATGACAATACTGCCGGTATGTATAATAAATACCTATACAGTATACTAGTACGTAATATCCTCCAAATTATTTTGTGTATAAAAATCATTAGAATCAAATACAGTAAAACAAGTTCACAGATATAGAATATAAATGCTTATTTACTGTTATCCAATACCTTTCAAATCTTTCATTTGTATAATCATTTTGAATATAAAAATCATTATTAATCATTGTAATTGAACTAGCAAAACAAGTTCACAAATTGAGAACATAAACACCTATTTACAAATACTGTATATAACACCTTCAAATCATTTCATTCGTATTAACATTTTATTCAATTTGTAAATATAAAAGTTATTTATTAATCATTGGAATCAAAACCACAAATAAAGAACATAAATACGTAATATCCTTCAAATCATTTTGTTCACATTAATCATTTTATTCAGCTTGTACCGGTATGTGTAGTGATGCGAATAGTTAAGGCTAAGATGCAAGCTGATCGGCTAAGAGTCTACTAATAAAGTATCGCCTCTAGAAACGGCACGGCTAAATACCCTGAAGCCGAACAAGCCGATAGATCAATAGCACATGTCCATTAACTAATAGTAGATCATATAGTTTCGTGACTTAAATTATACAATTGCTGAATTGTATTTTAATTCAGTAAATTCTTAAAGCTATTTCACGCTTTATAGCTTTTTAACCCAATCGCTTACATACATTTCAAAAAAAATTTTGCATAGAAAAACAGAAGTATATTAAGATTTTTGTGAAATTATATTACCATTAGCAGCTTGGCTTATAAACGGCTTGGCTCTGGTTGCAGAGCCGAAGGATCGGCTCAGCTTAGTAAATACTAGCGGTGAGCCGAGCCATTTGCATCTCTAGGTATATGTAAAATTGGTTATTAATTATTGGAAGTAAAAACACAAGTTCATAAATCAAGAACATAGATACTTTTACCAGTATGTAATATCCTTCAAATCATTTCACTCACATTAATCATCTGTGAGTATAAAAAATAATTTATTAATCATTGGAATTGAAAACAACAAAACAAAAAACATAACTGATAAATACCTGTTTACGACTACGTAATTAGAGTTTTGCAAGTGCCAGACATAGTAACATTAAAACATAGTGTTGGCTACCCAGACACTATGTTTTAACGACACCATGCTCGGACCCTGTACGTAATACCTTTCAAATCATTCCTTTCGCATTAATCATTTCATTCAAATAATATAATATTTCTGCTAATATTTTATATTGAATAAATGCCACATGGTCTCTTTTCAACCTAACACCATATAGATAGTAAGGCCAACATTAAATGTTCACTATCTCTCTTCCATTTCGACAGTAATATCTAGCACTATAACCTGCAGTTGTTAGGTTAAAACCTTTCCTGAATAATCCTTTTCAATACCAACGCCATTGTCATAACATTGGCCAAGATTACAATTTCCACTATCGAGGCCTTTATTAGCGGATTTATAAGAATTGGATGTCTTATTTTTGTCCATTTCTATTCCATTTCCATTTTCAGCAATATTGTCATCAGATATTCCATTCCATTTGTTCATTCCGGGTAATTTTTAATGATAAGTGAATACTCATTGTGCATTTCTCTTAACACCTAATTTGTTTCGGAAACTATCAATAGTTTTGTAACTAGCTCCAAGATTTTCCATTAATTGAAATTTGACAATGTTCAAGCACTTTATGTTGTTAGGGCCAGGGTACCCGTTCTACCAAAGTTTTCTTTTTTTATATACATATATTTATTTTCTTTTTCTATTATTTTTTATTGTTATTTTTTCTATTTTGGTTTCCTTACTGTATGTCAGTAGAACTCAACGTAGTTAGAATATAGTACTATAGTATCTTAGTATAGTAAATGAATGAAATTATTACTTGTTTCATTCAGTTCGAAAGTTTGGAAAGTCAAATAAGTTCGATTAATTTGATTATTAGATTTATCAGATTTATCGAACCTGGTAACTTTTTAGAACAAGTAAACTTAGTAGAATTAGCGAACAAGTTCGCTAAGTGTAGCAGCAATAAATACAGACCTTTTTCGTTGCGACAAAGATAACTCAATTGAGTTTTAACCTTCGAAATTTGAGTAGAAGTGTTAGCTCTAGTAGTTTTCCCCTTTAACAATAATGTCATTATAAAATAAATCATCGTAAAAACTTTCTTGTCATCTTATCTATATTTTCGATTTTTAGTAAGAGTAAAAGAGAGAAAATATCTATAAGTAACCAGACCCCTTTTATATTAAATTAACAATTGATAAAAGTTTTAATCAATTTCGTCATTTTTATCTTTGTTATACTTTTATATCGATCAATCGAAATTACCATGATCTCGTTACACGTGACCCCGAAATAAGCAGTACACTTGAATTAGAAAATATTGAAGTATTAGTGTTGAGTTTTTCTAAGACAACTAAAGCAATTTGGAAGTCAAAAATCAAAAAAAACTTATCTGAACCTTGGCAGCGTCACTATAAGACCCAAGCTCTGAAAACTTGGACCAAATTTTCCATGCCTTCAATTGAAGCCTTCCATTTTAGAGTTTCGGTCTTATTTCGTTATTTGTTTAGTGTTTGGGTGGATTATATAGTGTTATTCAGTCACCATCCTATTAGCCCATGTTCATGTTGATTTAACCTAATTAAAATAGGTAAGATTACTATACTTTAATAATAGTAAAAGTGCCAAACGGATTTGGTACGAAATCCCGAAGAACTAAATCCCGATGGTACTATATCCCGATGCTCAAAATATCGAAAGATCAAAATTTCGATAGTGCATTAATTCGAAGACTAAATCACGAAAAAGAAAAATCCCGATTAATCATAATCCCGAAGAATCATAATCTTGAAAGAAAAATATCCCGAATA